TGGTTAACAGGTAGAATCTGCTTATCTTGTCTTTGGAGATCAGAGGAAAGGCAGGCTGCTTCTCAGCAGAGTTTGTTTCCCTTGACTTCAAAGGTCAAGGTGCTTATCAGCTAAGTTCCCTTTTTCAGGCTCCAAAGTCTGTAGGTCCCTGTTGGGGAGGGGGGAAGCTGCTGCTGTTTGGAACTCTAACATAGACCAGCCTGTCTTTGATCTCCCAGAGATCCTCCTGCCTCTGCCTCCCAAGTGCAGGGATTGAAGGTACGTGCCACCAGGCCAGGCTGAATAGACATTTTAATAAGACCCTTAGATAATTTTGATTCACAGTTAAAGAATCACTAGACTAGCTGATGAAGAGTACGTGGCACTTCTAAGCCACATTACAGTCACACCTGAATAAAGAAATAAGAGCCTGACTCTTACCAGTCATTTTAGGCCAAGAGTAGATGGACCCAAACTCTGCAAACCCATCCTTTCAGGTGTCTTCTGGGAACTGTGTTCCCAAGTCAGGCTTCACTCATTCATTTATTGAAGGACTATCCCCATTATGAATTGGGAAAGAAGAAACTATGCTCCATCCTTATCAGAGAATCCTGCCCTTGGATCCTTAGGACTAGAATATCACACAGGGGATTTCAGACAGACTTCTCAATTCTCTTCTGTTTTCAAAGAGGAAAAACAAGCTGCTTCCAGACCTTAGATATGCTAATCACGCACACCCACATTCACTCACTATCTTGGGTGGAGGGCAAGGTGGGGTCCTGCAGGGCTAAGGCCTGGTGCCCAGGTCACCAGAGGAGCAGTTGGCTCAGTGAATTTGTTTACATTATAACTTTTAGATGCAAGGTTAGGTAAAAGTCATTAGTCCAGATTACCATTCCTAGCAACCTGGAACGAGCACAATGCAGATGATTGAAAGGCATTGTGGGAGATGGCTAAAGTCCCCCAGTCACCACCTGGAGTTGCCATCCATGAGACTCTGTATCCCGGACTTCATAATGACTGTTCTGTACTTTGATTTGAAAATGAACTACAGCTAGATATTTGGCTCCTTAATCCATTGACTGAATCCTTCATTCACCCAGCTGTTTGTAGGTAGGTCATGAAAGCAGGAATTGCTGTGTGTATTTGGAATCTCAAAGACAGTGTGTGTTCCACTGTTGTTTAGTAAATGGATAATTAAATGGGGATTTCATTAATTATTGAATTTATATTTGGAAGCAGAAAAACCTAGATTCGAGCGTTGATCGTACCCATTGTGGTACCTTTACAAAATAATACAAAGCTAATGGACTTCTGTTTTTTATTGGCAGTCTGGGGTGTGTGTGAGTGAGCTGACTGTGAGCAGGTGTGCATATTTAATATTTACTGTCCCTGCAGGAGTTGAAGTGAAGGCATTGAGTCGGAGGCCTTTTTGGTTAGATGGGATATAACATTTGGCTGAACTAAATTTTATATCATTAAAACAAGTTGTCAACATTTGTAACTTGAATTGGGCAAATATGAAATCATTCAATAAAAAGTATATATGAATTGTAACTGAACATATTACTGAGATTAATTCTTTCTGTCAGTTATTGATCAAAATGGAATAAATAATATGATAATGCAGAAGGAAATCTGGGTTTGTTGACAAAAAAAGAAAAATGGTAATTTGTTTTCTTTATAGCTTTGGCTCCAACTTTTGAAATGAATCCCATGAAGAAAAAACTCCTGGCTGCGAAGGGGGGAAGGGTTGTCATTGAATGCAAACCCAAGGCTGCGCCCAAACCCAAGTTTTCATGGAGTAAAGGCACTGAATGGCTTGTCAACAGCAGCAGGTCTGTCAGAAGTGGAGAATGTAATTGAAATAACCTACAGGAAAATGCCATAGATGACATGTTGCCCTGTTGTCCCTATAAATGATTTTGTTTTTCTTCAGAATTTTCTTCATGAAGATACTATAGTTCTAAGGTGCAGAGAAATGCGTGTTCATCTAAAATCAGGCCCTAATTTTTGAATTTTTAATTTCTGAATCATTTAGGAAACGAGCACAGAGTTCAAAGCCACCCAGTAAATAAACAAAGAAAAAGAAAGAAAGTTCTTGCTTAACTGTGTTTTTCCTTAGCAAGGACATTAATAAACGTGTATGTGTAATTTAGGTTTATACTTTTTACCTATTAAATATTTTGGTAGGAAAATGCAATGGTGGTTTTTAAGTATAAATAATGTCTCCTTTTTCTTAAATCAGTAGCTGTCCCTCATTACTCTCAGTGAGAGGATGATTTCTGATATTTGATACCTTCAAACAAGAGAGAAAAGATGACCATTTTCATAGATTTTTATGAAAAAGCCACATTCAGTAATTTCTATGTTTCCTAAAAGTTATATTCACACGAAATACATGTGTAAACATAAATGTGCACTTATGTGTATTGAGTGTAAGAGTTTAAAGGTCAGGTTTGGGAGTGTTAGGAATGGGATATGGGGTTGGGGCAAGGTGGGACTCCATGAGCCAGATCATACATGGCATGGCTTTCTTTGGTAAAGGAGCGTGGCTTAATGTAAAGATGAGCGGAATCTGAATGAAAGCTTAAACAGGGAGAATGAGGTAATTTTGTCCTTTGAAAGAATAATGTGTCAAAAATATAAAAATAAAATTTTGCAATAATCCAACAAAATATGGTTATGGTTATCATTAGTAGTACCAGCTTCAAGGCCTAGAATGAGAAAGTGATATTCTGAAAATACGTAAGTAATGTCCAGAGTAGAATTTGACATTGTGTCCTGTTGCCTTGGGGTGAGAAGATCCCAATGCACATCTGTAATTCGGATGTTCACAAGTGTGAGTGTGTGGTGGGAGGTGCAGGAACAGCAGGACCTTTTCTGAACACATCACTTCTGCAGTTAACATGCTGTGCATTAATGTGTCGGTGTGAACATTACTTTATAATAGATGCAGTATTCACACCCAAATGTGTTTGAATGTTCTAAACTAGTATGTAGGAAAAAAACTACATTTTTGTATCTGCAAAAAACGAATATAAATTCATTGTTAAGATCTAATGACTAATGGATGGAATAATGATAATTTAGCAAAAAAAAATCTTATTCTGGTGAATTGACTATAAAGCTTGTTCCACGAAGCAAAGTGATTCCTATATTGGTTAGAATGTGCTTTGGTTGAAGGGACGCGAGTGCTGCACAGCTCTAAGGGAGGCTGGTAAGGGCACAGGAGGGAGCACTTTGGCCAAAATGCCCGCCAGAGTTTCCTGTCTTCAGGAGGGGGCTTCCTTGCAAAGTCCTCTGGTACTCCGTCGCTGGCTGGGACAAGCTAAAACATATGGCCTTCACAAATCACAGACTGACTGCTTTCCAAGTACAGTGTGTGGGGCATTGGTTAATTCATTCCTTCATGTTTGGAGAAAGAGGCACATTTTTGAACCTTCCATAATAACAAGGAACTAATTTTCTTATATATTTTGATGACTCATTTGTCATTTAAAAACAAAAAGATTCTGAAATTAGTTGTTTTATTTATTTATTTATTTTTGGTCTTTTTGAGACAGGGTCTCCCTGTAGCCCCAGCTGGCCTGGAACTCACTATGTAGACCAGGCTGGCCTTGAACTCACAGAGATCCACCTGCCTCTGCCTCCCGAGTGCTGGGATTAAAGGCATGTGCTACCACGCCTGGCCCCAAAATTAGTTTTAAATTAGAAATAGATAATGAAAGAGAAAAAATGGAAATCCTATTATATATTATTAGCAGAAATTTTCAACGTTTTCTTATATCGAGATGTTTATTAGTAGAGAAATTCTCTTGTCACATTGTCCTTAATAGAGAGCAGATATTTCTGTTTTTGGAAAATCATATTTAAAGTTTTGAAAATGATACATTTAAAGAAAGTGGCAGAGAGAAGGAACAGGAAACCAGTATTGAATGTAAGTGCGAGAGACTGTAAAATAAAACTGAGCTTTTGGTCTCTATGTCTTAGTAAGAAGGCAGACACATTGGGGATGGATTCAGTGGAAAGATTAAGGATTTCCTAAACCCTAATTTGCTACAGAAGTAACTACAAATAAAGATTTAAAAATCTTTCTTCAAAGTTTCTAAAAATCAGTGCATCAGTATCTCTTTAGAGCTGTGGGGTAATAGTCTGTTCTAAGCTGAGTCTTGATACTACACTTCCAGAAAATCTGAACTCATTTCTCTCAGGCCTGTGACCTGTTTGAGCCTGTCCACAGAGGTCTTAAATCTCATTTTATGGTGGGATGTGGAAAGATACTTTCCTCATTAAGCTTCCTGTGTGTTCGTTCATTTAAAAAAAAGGCTTGTTGAATATCTGCTCAAGGATTAATACCTGCTCCATGCACACTTACGTAGCAAGGGATTTTAAAATTAATGAACGAGAGCTGTTGTCACTGTTGGAGTAAACACTACCATTTGGGCTGCTGGTCTTGAATCTCATCTTTACACTTTTATTGGTCCTTTAATGGCGAGGTGATCGACTTTAACAAAGAATCTCACTGCCAGTGGAAGGTTACATGTGTTATGTGCTGGGGACATGGCTATAAACAAAGCAAATTCTCATTTTAAGACGCTCCAATCTAGTGGAAGGGTGCAGCTAACATATTAAGCTGCAGAGGTTCTGCTGAAATATGTATTTGGACAACAAATTTGAAAAGAGGGATGTCAAGATAGCCAATCAATATGTCATGTATCAGGGTGGGCACATGTCATGTGTGCACACATGCAAAACACAATTTGTCTGGCTAGGTACCTGTTGTGTGTGCATGCACACAGAAGCCAAAAGATCATCCTTTACTGATGGTGCCATTGACCAAAAGCCTGAAGGATTCCAGGAGCAAGTTATTAGAGCCTTTTAGAGCAGGGGACTATGGCTTCCACTCTGAAGTGGAAAGTCATTGGACGATTTCGAGCTATTCAATAGCATCACTGAGCCATAGAGTCACTCCTGTCCACCTGACTGGCTCACATGTGTCCACCTTCTTAAAGAGGCAAGAGCATAGTAGGTCTGCTAGAGGACCCTAGCCCTAGTCTTAGCAACGTGAAGAAGTCAGCTTTGCAACACATTGCCAGAGCTGAGGAAGGATATTAGAAACTAAGGCAAGAACATCGCCACTTAAAATGCCTCATCCATCCAAGAAACTGGCATAAAGTGTAGTAATATATGTATGTAATATAATAGGCAACAATAGTGGCTGTTATGAAATTCGTTTTGTGAATTATGTATTTTTAATTTCAATAGAATACTCATATGGGAAGATGGTAGCTTGGAAATCAGTAACATTACAAGGAATGATGGTGGCGTCTATACATGCTTCGCAGAAAACAATAGAGGGAAAGGTAACAGCACCGGAACCCTAGTTATCACAGGTGAGGAGCTGTTTGATATTTGAGTCATGCTGTTTTTCTTTAAGTGATAGTGTTCAGCTTCTATTGTGCTGAACGATAAGTCATTCAAACTAAGTTTATAATGCAATGTATTGATGAGTTTCCATTTCACAAGCCTTCTGGGCAAGTCTCTTCCTTCATAAACTTGTTCCTGGAAGTTGAATGTCCAAAAAAAAAGTCTTGTCTCTTTGCACAGCAGATCAACATATATTGGATTTTAGTCTTTCTGTTTGTTTGCTTTTTGACAGTTTCATACATGTATAGCATGCATTCTGATTATTATAACTGCAGGTAATAGGATTCACAAACGGTAAGATCGTTGATGCCTCCCCCAACCCCTGAAGCCTGTACAGCACCTTCTGGCACTGAGAAAGCTAGCCAGCAGGGAGGAGGCTTCCAGCTCAGTTTCAGTTTGATTTCTCTACACTTTGCAACCAAGCTGTGGAGTATCTTCAGCAATAGGGTCTTATCCGCTAGTTCTGGTTGGAAACTACAAAGAGGGGGAAAAGCCTGTTGTTTGTCAGACCTCTGGGTCCTTTTTGACCAACAGCTCCTAAGGAAGTATCTCATCCCTGGCACTGGGGTTTTGGTTTAGTAACCCTTGGCTTTCAGGAACAGGATTACCCAGAATTGCAGGAGATGTCCCTTTCAACTTTTTAACTACAATTTTTAATTGGTTTACAAGGTAGTGAGTTTCTGTATGGCTTTTTCATAGGTCTGTAGTATTGGTTAGCCCTCATCTTCCCCATTCCACCTCTGAAATTTTCTCTCTTTGCCTTTGTATCACCATGCTATGGCTCCTCCCATAAGATATCCTGTGTCCCAATGGCCCTCTCTAGTTTACTTCTACAGGCACTCCAGGTTAAACCACAAATCTGAAGATTTGAATCTAGGAGCCACATGTGAGAGAAAACACTTGGTATTCATCTTTCTGAGTTTGGCTTAACTTACTACCTATAATTTTTCCTGGTTTTATACATTTACCTGCAAATTTAATTTTTTTATAGCAATATAAAATTCCATTAGGTAAATGGACCACATTTTCGTTACCCATTCATCAGTTGATGAACATCTAGGCTGATTCCATTTTCTAGCTATTGCGTGTAGGGCTGCAGTGACGTTGGATGTGCGTGTCACTCTGTTAGTCCATTTAGATTATGCCCAGGACTGTGTAGGTCACGTGGTCATTCCAGTTCCAGCTTTCTGAGGAACCTCTACACTGATTTCCACAGTGGCTGCCATACTCCCACCAACAGTAGACTAGAGTTCCTCTTTACCCATATCCTTGTCAGAATTTTTTGTCATTTGATTTCTTGCTGGGGTGATATGGGATCTCAGTGTACTTCTGATTTTACATCCCTGACGGTTAACGACATTGAACATTTCTTTTCATGTTTAGCAGAAAACGACATTGAACGTTTCTTTCCGTGTTTTGTCTTTTGAGGATTCTCTTTTCAGATCTATGGCCCGTATTTTGATCGGGCTGATTATTTTCTTGATGTGCAGTTTTTGGTAGTCTTTGTCTATTCTAGACATTAGTCTTCTGTTACAGGTGCAGCTAGCAAAGATTTTCTTTCATTCTATAGGATACCTCATTTCATTGATGGCTTTCTTTGTTGTGCAGAAGCGTTTTAGTTTCATGAGATCCTATTTGTCAATGCTGATCTTATTTCTAGCACTATTGGATCTTATTTTCAGCCCCATTCAAAGTTGTTTCTGGTTTGCATTTGGTTGAGATCTCTTTGGTAATCCTTTCACTTTAACGTAATGCTTATTTTTGATGTGAGATGTGTTTCTTGAAGATTGCAAAATGACAGATCCAGTTTTCTAATCCAGTCTGCTTGCCTGTGCCGTTTTGATTGGGGAGTTGAGACCACTGATATTCCAAGTTATTACTGGAAGATGTGTATTGATTCTTGTTGTTTTGTTGTTTTTGGTGTTTCTTAGCCCTCAGCTGCTTAACCACTGACATAACTTTGCTTACTTTTTCGTTGTAGCCCCTTGGATATGCACACTGCTCTTCAGTCAGAAGTGTTCTTGCTAGTATCTTCTCTCATGGCAGCTTGGTGGTCATAAAAGCCTTTAGCTTGTCTTCATCATGGAAAATTTTTCTTTTCCCTTCAGTTATGACAAGTAGTTTCTCTGGGTCTGGACTGACCACTGTGATCTTCCAGAAGTTGTATGATGTCAGTTCAAGCCCTTTTGACTTTTAAAGTCCTCACTGAAAACAAATCACATCTTACTATGATAGGCCGCATTTATATGTGAGTTGTTTTTCTCTCTTGCAGCTTTTAACATCCTTCCGTTGTTCTGGACATTTAGTGTTTGTTATATGACATGGGATTTCTTTTCTGGTTCTGTCTATTTGGTGTTCTGTGTGCCTTTTTTCTTAAAAATTTTATTTATTATTTTCATTTTTGTGTATGAGTGTACTGCCTTCATGTGTGTAAGTGCACCCATGTCGTGCAATGCCACAGAGGTCAGAAGAGAGTGTCAGATCCCCTGAAACTGGAGTTCCAGTTGTTAGCTGCCATGTGGGTGCTGGGAACTGAACCTGGGTCTTCTGCAAGAGCAGCCAGTGCTCTTAACTGCTGAGCCATCTCTTCAGCCCCCCATGTCCTCTGGTACCTGGATGAACATCTTTCCTTGGATTTGGTATATTTGATAAGTTTTCTACTATGACTTTATTGAAAACAGTTTCTGTGCCTTTGACCTGGATTTCTTCTTTTGTGTTCATGGTTCGAAAGTCTGAACTTCTTATAGCGTTCCAAAGACTCTGCATATTCTATAGTAAGTTTTACAGATTTTTATCTTGTCCTTTACCTAGTGACCCGATTCAGGCACTGGTACTCTGTCTTGTACTTCACCCATTTTATTGGTGAGGCTTAACTGAGCTTTTTACTGGGATTTCTGAATTTTTCAAGTTTTGTTTTAGTTCAGGTTTCCTCAGTAGTTCTATCTCTATTGAGTTCTAGTTTCACATCCTGAGTTACCTTTCTATTTTCTTCAGTTGTTTCTGTTTTCTTGGTCTTCATTTCAGTGTTTCTTCTAACCCTCTCTGGGCTCCTTGAATGTATTCATAACTTTTCTTTTGAATCCCTTGTCTTGAACATCATCTAAGTTGCTCTTACAATGAGATTAACAATTTTTGAAGGACACATGTTATATTGGATTTTTGTGTTGTTTGTATTTTCATAATGGGACCTGTACAGCTGAAGTTAGGTCAACCGAAATTTGAAATGGATGGCTGTCCCACCTTTGCTGGGTCTGCGTTAGGATCTCGTGGCATGTCAGGTTTTAGATCTTCTGGGTGCTGCTTGAAATTTATATTTAGCTTCCTCAGTGCTGAGTCATGATTAGAGTCACAGAGGGGGTTGTAGCTCAGCAAACGCAGCTTTTGACCCCACCAACGGGTGCTCTGTAGAATGAGCAGATTCTCCCCACTGCTCCCCGGAAGTCAAGTTTACAGTACAAGAGACAGGGGGAAGTGAGGGCTAATGGTAGAGCACACGAGTGCTCAGCAGACAAGTGCTCAGAACGCAGTCCCTGAAGGCAACATTGGGGGTCCCCGCAGGAGAGGGGGAGCACCTAAGGCTACCTGTGAAAGGAGCAGGCTCTCCTTGCAGGTCCTAAAGTGGCATTAGGGGTCTCAGAGGAAGAAGGAGGGAAGTGTTACCTTTGGGATGAGCAGGTACCTGGCACAGGTCCTCACATGGTGGCGTTAAGATCCCAGAGAAGAGGGAAAAGGGAAGGCTACCTGTGGGGCAAGCAGGCACTTGGCGAACAGATGTCAGATGTCAGAGTTAGATTCCCAAAACTGAATATTATTCTTTTACAGGATCAGGTAATATGATGTCTCATGTTTTCTTTAACTGTGGTTTATTCTTTTACTTAAAAACATACAGATCCCACACGAATCATATTGGCCCCAATTAATGCTGATATCACTGTTGGAGAAAATGCGACTATGCAATGTGCTGCGTCCTTTGATCCCGCCTTGGATCTCACATTTGTTTGGTCCTTCAATGGCTACGTGATTGATTTTACCAAAGAAAATGTTCATTACCAGAGGAATTTTATGGTATGTGTTGTATGTTTCATCTTATTAACAGCCCAGTGATTCCTGTGTATCGGCATTCAAACTTCTGTTAAGGGCCAGAGGAACAGTTTAGAAGATAAGGGCACTTGCTGCCAAGCCAGAGGGCCTGAGTTTAGTCCCTGGAACCCACATGGGAAGGAGAGAGCTGACTCCCAAACGTTGTTCTCTTACCAGATGTGCCATGACTTGTGCGGTGTATGTGCACACGTGCAAACACACACTTACACAAAACTCAACATAAAAAATAAATATATAATTTAAAACCTCAGTTAATATAATCATATGTTATGTGATTGTATTTTTTCACAAGATTGAAATTCATGCAGAAAAGTTTGTCATAGTTCTCATTATATGAGTTATGATACTCCTGGATCTTTGTAAAAGTCTTAAAGACTGCGGTAGAGACATTAACAAATATTTACTGAACTTTACATTAATTTTCTTCTCTCAGTTACAATGATTCTTATGGTGGTGTGCCCTACAGCTAGTATATTTGGAGATTTCAGTGATTTTTACTTATACTTTAGATGATAAAAACATAGAAATCACAATGACCAGCACAGTAAACTATATTGGTGTAGTAGTAGCATTTTTATCTTTGGAGTAATCAAGAATACAAGAGAATCTTAAGTTCCAGGTCAGCCTGGGCTAGGCAGTAAGACTCTGTCTCCGAAAGAAAAGAAAAAGCGAGAAAACATTACCTTAGAGATCAGCTATTAATATACACAAAAGCTTGAAGTCTCTCAGTGGGATGTTGCAGAGTTTTTCTATCATATAAAGTCTGGATCAGTGTTTATAAACTGTAATAGCATTATACTTTCAAGTTGACCAGTTGCTTTCTTATTATTCACCGAGGGTTTTACGTTTAGAAGGGCAAAGCAGCTTTCCGTTAAGTAAGACTTGCTTTAATTGGATGGGGGCATTTCTTTTCTTGCATTACTGGAGGCTTGCGAACAGCAAATGTGAACCTGTATGCTCCTGCATATTCACTGTTAAGTCCAGCTATTTTCAATTTACTGGGACGAGCTGTGACCAAAAATTAGCAGTGAAATTGGCAATTCAGTTTCTGAAAAAAGCTGTGCTATACTTTAAAAAATAGTGTAATTGATAGAGAAATACAGATTTCAAGATTTGTCCTTTTAAAGTCTGAACCTACTTTATTATGCTTAATATGCATATATGTTTAGGATTAGTGAAATTGACACAAAGCTTTTTCTCAATTTAATAACTCTTCAAATTCTGGAGATTTTTAAGACAAGTAAACCCTAGAGATTTTACTCATATTATGGAAAAGAATAAGTTGAACAGAGATGTTTCTTAAAATCAAAAGCAAAGTTTTGAATTTGTTTAATCTTTTGGTCTTATAAATTGAATAATGTCAAAACTACAGTCTTGGAATATGACAAGCAGAGTTTATAAAGCAGTTATTTACTAGTTACAGTAAAGTCTATATGAATAGATTTGGAGGCATGAATTGGCCTAATTAAGGTGAAACTTCATAGTTAGAACCTATGAATATTGTTGGAAATAGAAGTTACACTGTGCTGCTCGACATAAATGACCCCCATAAGAAGAAATGAAAGAAGGAAATAAAGAAATAGTTGGAATTCTAATCAAGACATGTAAGTTAGATCGTAAATGTGCAAGTGTGTTGCCATATACTGTACACTTGCTCGCTCATCAGATGGTAGCCATGGAGGCTCGGAAGTGGCTGGTCTAGGCTGCAGTGGACATGACTAGTCTAGGCTGGCCAACTCCAGGGTACTGGCTTCAGGCCCCATTCCAGGATTCCTTAACTCGGGGCTCAGCTCCTCCCATAGTCACTGGTGAAATAAGCAACACAGTTGATTAAAATTATCAAGGCTCATTATTAACACTTCAAAGATATACAGATGGGTTCAATTCTTTTTAAAAAATAGTGAGGATATTTATTGTAAAGCAATTTATCAAATTAATTCTCTTATGAACCTACAAAAGTTCTGCAAAGATTTCCATGGTGTCTTAATTCCTTTAAAAGGCAAATTTCAAGGTCAGGCTTCACTGCTACATGAAACAAGTGAAGGCATCAGGTGTGCTTAGCCAGCTTTCAGAAGACAGAATTTCCATCTCATCATGGTTACTGTATTTGTTGGCATGCCCAGTTTCTTAACTGATGTTTTGATGTTTTTCTTAATTCTGAGAGTATTTTAATGGTGGGACAGCGTTGGTTGGCTGAGAACTATCTACTGAGCCTGCACAACACTACAAGCAGGCAGAGTAATAAACACTAGGGTGAATAAAACACTGCCTGGCATGGTGACAGGTGCCTTTAATCTCAGCACTCGGGAGGCAGAGGCAGGCAGATCTCTGTGAATCTTACACTTGTACACATAAAATAAAAATAATAAATAAAATATTTTTTAAAAAGTCGTCTTAGTGGGGCTGGAGAAATGACTCAGTGGTTGAGAGCACTGGCTGCTCTTGCAGAGGACCTGTGTTCAAATCCCAGCACCCACATGGTAGCTAACAACTGTCCATAACTCTAGTTCTAGGGGATCAGACACTCTCTTCTGACCTCCACGGGCACTGTATAGCACAGGTGCACTTACACACATGCAGGCATAGCACTCATACACATAAAATAATGAAAACAAATTTTTTTGAGTCGGGTATGGTGGCCATGCCTTTAGTTACAGCACTCAGGAGGCAGAGGCAGGTAGATCTCTGTGAGTTTGAGGCCAGCCTGGTCTACATAGTGAGGTTCAGGCCAGCTGGGGCTACAGGGAGATCCTGTCTCAAAAATATCAAAGTGAAAAAATAAAAAAAGAAAAAGATTCTTATGAATTCAAAAGGTATCAGAGACACTCTGAGACGGAATATCAAGTGTAAATGTCCTAGGAGCTCCTACAATTACCATTATCATGTTTTAATAAGTGTAATTGTCAAAAATTAACACGAGAAGTCATAACTACTGAAAATTAAAACATTTAAATTTTAATTTAATCAATTTTCATTTCCAATATTGTTTCAAAAATAAGTTAGAGTTAAAAATCAGGCATTGATTTCAGCTTGCTGTTTTCAGTTCTGGCCACTAAATGGCAGTCTTTCATCAGGTTTTGAGTTTCAAAGCCTGAACTAATTTGCAAAAAAACATGAAATTTGCATCTTCTCATATCCTTGGATACATTGTGAGATTACGGGTGATGCTGAATTTTACTATAATTCTTTTCTCTATAAAGTCACATAATTATCGAGAAAAAGTGACAATACATTCGTTTGCTCATCTGCATTTCTTTTAAGTGTTTCTGGTGAGCAGCAAAACAAACGTAGAAATAACACTGCCCTTAAATTAATGGTCACACTTTATGTAAAATTCTTGTGGATTAAATTACTCTATGTAGTGAAACTTTTAATTTTAAGACTGTGATTACATGTTTAATACTAACATACAAAAATTTTAAAAACATTATTTATTCTCTCATTTATTTAGTTAAAAACTCACTGAACACTATGTTGTGGCATAATAAATGGTATAATAAATATGATAATGGCTAGTAAATATTGCATTTGTTCTTGGACAAAATACATATATAAATAAAAATTAATAGACGGGTTAACACAAATCTATTAAAGTATTTTATCTACATTATTTTATTCTTCTAAACTTTGTGATAAATAATTGGACATTTTTCATGTCTCGATTATAAAAGAACTTCTGTTTTTATTTTCTAGTTCAGTATGTATTTGCTCTTTTTAATATGAAACTAAACATATTTATAATTTAATGTATAACCACTCTTTTCCTAGAAAAGTCTTTTGATCATCCATGAAGGTTATAGATGTATGCATATACATGTGTGCATACACACTATATATAGAGTCATATATGTTTCATTTTATTGCTTGTTCATGGTGGAAAATTATTGGCAGAAATTACTTTTTCAATAGCTGCTTAGTTGTTTTAAAATTTATTTATGTTTGCGTATGCATGTGTGTGGGTACAGTCATGCAATGGCACACATGTAGAGGTCGGAAGACTCTGAGGAGTCGGCTCCCACCTCCACCTCATTGAGGCAGGGTCTTTCTGGTTTTTGTTGCTTCCCAGCAGGGTCCAGGCTAGCTGGACAGGGAGCTTGCTGCCTATTCTCCTGTCTCTGCCTACCATCTCCATCCAGTAGGAGAGCGTGGATTATGACTCATGACGCTATGTCCAGTGTTTTACATGGGTTTTAGGGATCAAACTGGGGCAATAAAGTTTGTATGGCTAGTGCTTTTAACCACTGAAGAAGCGCTCTGCCTCAATTTGACAAGCACTTTTGATCATTTTCTCTTAACTGTTGGGCAGCATTCTCCTGGTCAGAGTAACTATCTTGGTTAAGCACACAGGTTTCACGCACTTTCCAATTCTGGTAATTGCTATTCCTGATCTCTTTATTACAATGTTCAAAGTACAGTCTAGCAAGAAGTTACCTCAGGTTTGATATGTCACGATAAAACATGCTGACTAAAAACAACTTGGAGAGAAAGGGGTTTATTGCATCTTACATTTCCAAGTGACAGTCCATCTTTGAGAGAAGCCAGTCAGGAAGTACAAAACACGAAGAAACTCTACTTTCCAGATTGTTCCCAGGCCTGTGCTCAGCCTGCTTTCTTACATAACTCAGGACCACCTGCCCAGGGGTCACCAGCACAACTGGCTCCACAGTCTCCATATCTGTCTCACAGACATGTCCACAGATCAACTGATAGAGGAAATTCCCCAGTTGAGTTCCCTCTTCCCAGATGTGTCAAGTTGACAACCAAAGCCAACCACAGAAGCATCTGAGCTGCCTGGAGGCTCTGCCCAACCTCACATGGCACTGGGCTCCATTTTTTTACCCTTTATTCTGTGTCCCAGAGCCAGTCATTAGAACTTGCCAGGCATCAGCCTTCCTCCCTGTAAAGTGGTCCTTATTATTCACTTCTGTTGTCTTTCTTACAAAGCAGACTACTTCATAGTACTT